CTAATGACAGTTAACTTTGGCCATCCAGATTTTAATATTTTAGAAAAGAAGAAAAAAGTATTTTCCATTTTTATAAGGTTTTTAATCAAATATTATCAAAGAAATAGGAAGCATATAGGTTCAATAGTTAATTCCAGTACTAGATTTATTAAGCTTTCAACAGTTAGGAACATACCTCGCTCTCAAAGCCCCTGGAATTCTTTTTACAGAATGTCTTTTTCTTTAGTTGTATATCTGCAGCTACTTTATTTCAACTAGATACATACAAAGGAGGGGAGTCTTGGATTATGCTAGGCTTTTATCAGATTAATACATGATGATAAATTTCATGTTAGGGGAGAAACAATATAGTTCTTCTTAATAAGGCTGTAATATAGGCCTAATCAGACATTTGAATGAGGTTGGTAAAATTCATGAAAAATTTATCATCACAGACTGAAAAGCATTTTTCTCAATGTTGTCAGAAGGATGAAAAATGAAAAATTTTAACATTATTCACATAAATTTTTCAAATAATCACAGTAGAATGAAGAAAAAATATGTTATCAAATAGTAAATAAAAGATATCAGAGAAATTAAGTAAAAATCATTATTAGAGGGCCAGGGATTTAGCTCAGTGGTTCCTGAGTTTGATCCCTTGTTCCAAAAAACAAAACAAAACAAAAATCATTATTAGGTATCTCTTTAGAAGACAAAACATCAAAAAATGAAGTAAAACTGAAGTAGAAATTATTCAAGTATGCACTATAAACTTGGATTCTTTTCCTTTGAACACTGCTTCCAAGATGGGTATTTAAAAAAAAACTTTCTGTAATTAATTCATAAAGTATACAATTTCTTTAAAGAAAGTGACATTTCATATAACCTGTTACACTGATTATGATCAAGAGTATCCCAATATTAAGCAAGTGAATCAGTGACATTTAAAAAATGTTATTTTCTTCTGGACACATGATATGCCAAATCTCAAATTACCCAAATGTCTACATGATTAAGACAGTGAAAGTGCTAGCAAATATTCAATGACTAAATGCTTTTACTTTAGGTAACAGAATACTATGTAGGATGTAAATATAAACATTTATGTCAGTATCACGTTAAATATTTTTTAAGGGAAACAAAGAAACCTGGGCACTGGATCAGAGGTACTGTTTTTGTATCTTACAGTTGTTGCATTCCATTTTATGGATAAATCACCTAGAATATTTTGACATGAACCACATCGAAAGCTCCACACTGAAAGCTTTTTTATTCTTTCATAGAACAAATTAGCAACCCTGACATGATAGCAGAGTTTTGAGTGGAAACTCATCGAGGGTGAGAAAGTTCCAAAGGATTAGGGGCTCTGCTGATTCTGACAAGTCAACGATAAATGAATGCATCATTTCTAACTAGGATGATTGCGATTATTCCTTGTATCAGGGATACCTCACAAAATTGAAATATCATTTTTTAAAAAGCAATCAATACCAGCCACTTATTACCTCAAATTGTATCTGTGAATGTCGGGTATTGCTGACAGATGCTGCTGTACATTTGACTTCCTTTTCATATGTTGCTCTAGCTATGTCCGGGAATGAGATGGAGGGCATGGAAAGTGCTCTTATTTTCCTGGAAGTGACTTGGCTCAACATTAGTGATTGTTATGGTTTAGATCTGAAACGTTCCCCAAAAGTTTCATGTGTTTGGAGAGTGACTGGATCATGGGTGTGACATTCATCAGTGGATTCGTGTAGGATGAATTCAGTAGTAAATGTGCTGCTAAGAGACGAGTCACTGGGGATATGACTGGAAGGGTGTGTTACTGTGCCCGGCCCTTCTGTTTGCTTTGCTGTCCGGCTGCCATGGATTAGCAGCTTTCCTTCTCCAGGCCATTTTTGACTTAGATCCAGTAGACTGTGGACTAAGCATCTGAAAATCGTAAACCAAAGTAAACTTTTCCTCCTTTAAAATATAGGTGTCAGGTATTTTGTCCTAGTGAGAGCAGAGTGATTAATAAAGTGACACTTTTCAGATCTACCAATGTTTATATATATGAACTATGAGACCTGTGGGTAATGAAACTATATTTTCTTCTTTCACCAAAAATAACTTTAAAGCAATTATATGGATTTTACTCTAGAACTGCATTAGTTCAGTTCTATAGTAAAATAAAATGGTAACACCAAGTCTGGGAGATATTTATGGATTTATTATAAATTTGTGATAAAAATGTGATTTGCATTCTGTTACATTCATAAGTATTCTACTTATATAAACAAATACATCTTAATTTTAATGGTAAGACTTTAGGGTTTTTTTTTTTTGTTTTTTTTAAACAGGCTCTTGCTTTGTATCTCACCCTTGCCTGGAACTCACATTTCTCCAGCCTCAGCCTTGCATTTGATGGGATGTCAGGTGTGAAAAATCATGCCCAGTTCAAATCTCAGGGTTTTAAAGAGGAATTCCTTCATTTCTGCCTTACCTACCCACCTCCTTATAGTCCCAACTCAAAATGAGTTGCATAGGAAACATCTAGATCTGTGAAGAAAATTATTATTTTTAGTATCTATACTCCCCTTCCAGTTTTGGGAGAGCAGCAGCACATGAAATCTAATACATAAACTAAGGCTCTAAGGCCCTCTGTGATCCATGTTCACAGTCAGCCCGTGCCGTGGCTGCAATAGATCAGAAGAGCTTTGTGAAAAGAAATGCTCTGGTATGACAAGTACTGAATAAAAGTGATCCGTTTCAGGCAGACAGACACGTACTCACAGAGATCAGAAGAAATATATTTCTTGAAAGTATCATTTTAACTATCCTATGGACAAAGAAATGCTCTGGTATGACAAGTACTGAATAAAAGTGATCCGTTTCAGGCAGACAGACACACGTACTCACAGAGATCAGAAGAAATATATTTCTTGAAAGTATCATTTTAACTATCCTATGGAATCTTAAGAATTAATCAACAACAAATACATTTATGTTCTTCTATGTAGTCAACAAGAAGTAACAGAAAAATAAAAATATAAGTCAGTGATTAGAAAATAAGAAATTCAAGACACACAAATATCTTAAATACTAACAAAAATATAGCAATCATAAAAATATCTAAACCTATGCACATTATTGAATACCTTATAGAAGTATTTAGCTAGGACTTCATGGGTATCAAGTTTGGTTTATTTCAGAGAAAGTACCTGAGCTAAAATGTTTCATAGCAGCGAAGAGAAAAACTACTTTTTCAAATGGATACCTGCATTCTAGTTTGTCTGTGTTCTCATCCATGACTATTTATGTTTCTGATTTGTCAATCAGCCTGAAAACATTTTCCTTTGTCATCACCAAACAACTCAAAAGCGAGAGCACACAGATGCTAATATACCTACAACTATTTATAATCATCTTTTCGATATAAGGTTACAGCATATAGATAGATTTCTGAGGACTTACTTTGGCTTCAGTCCTTTGAAGAGGATAGTGCTTGTATAGTAAGCCCTCTACCCTTCTTCTAAGGATTTCTCTGTCAATAAGCCCATAGCAGTGTAAGACCCAAGGTTTTTCCCTGGTCAGTTTACACTGAAGCAGGATGGTGATTAATTCCATGGTTTTAAGGGCAATTTCCCAGCAAACCAAGAATTATGACTGTCACTGAGATTAACCAAGATTGACACTTGCCCTTCTTTACTCATACTCAACACAAAATTAGGGCACAAGGCACTCCATATAGAGAAGACAGCATCCAAAGGAATAAGCAGTTTCTACTTAAATTATAAACTCTATCATAGTTTTATATTAAACGATATTAAGCACACTAGCATGATAAACTGAGGACACTTTGATCTAAAAATATATTGCTGAAACAAGTAATAGTGCAAAACAGGACAAGTATTTATTTTTATAAAATACAGTCTCTAATTTCAGAATCAAAATACTACATATAACCATACTTATATATCGTCTAAACTATAATTCCAGGATTTATATTTTTAAAAGTTATCTCTGATGTTTTAAATTTAGAATTTTTACAGGCTTTAAATATATCTATATTGAATATTTTCTTTTTGAAACTGAAGCTGGACATCAGTATAATCTAAAATGAGAATTCGTAAGGTCAAAGAACTGTGTCTTTAGATAACTTTTCTCCTTTACCCGTCATAACCAAATACATCCTTAAAATTGTACTTCCTCTCTTTTCAACAAATTTCAATTGGAATGGTTCATGATTTGTGTTTCATTTTAACTTTTTCTGGCTTTTGGATTCCTCCAGGTCAGAGGTGGTGAACCTATGTCACACATGCTGCAGTGGGCTGTTTATATCTAAAAGGTTCACCATTGTGCTCTATATTATTTTGACAGCACTATAAGATTGCATCATATCATTTCCCCAGGTAAGCTGTTCATTGTATGCTGCTGTCAAGTATTTTACTGAAATCTAAAGGAATAAACTGTGCTCTTGCTTCCCTTTTCTTTAAGCATTAATGATAATTTCAATCATAATAACTGCCAAATTTTTATTTTTTATACTGAATTCCTAGTTATGTGGGATGATTGAGGATAATTCAAAAGTGTTTCAGAATCACTAACTGCCAAACATCTTCTGCAAATGGAATATTAACACTCTGAGGAGACTGTTATACTCACATAACATCCACTGCATGCTTTTATGGAATGCAAGAGTAAAGGCTATGTTCATCATAATTAATGTGGTAATGCTATACTATAGTTCTGTCACTCTCAGTCAACAAATATGGAGAAGCTACTGTTTCTGATTTTAGCCATGTATGTTTGTATATTGTTAATTTCTAAAGAGAACCAGTATAAACTCAAGAGGGACACTTTGATGGATATTTAAATGTTATACTTATTTTTGTATACATCTTAAAAAAGTATTCTAGACCATGAATATCTGCATGGGAATGAATAAAATAATGATTTCTGAGAATTCTCTAAAATGAAGAATATTTTAATAGTTGCTTTAATTCTTAAATATCTCTATTTTAAACATATTTGTTGTATTGAACTATTAAATAAAAGAAACTCTTGGTTTGTTTCATAAAATAGCAAGTATTTATCATGCTATCATGCTTGAGATTGTGAAAATTTTACTCTTACTCTTACTTGTAAAGAAATAGCTGGATATCTTAACTTCTATTTAAGTTAGTAATAACCAGTTGCAATAATCAGCACTTGAAAGTGTGCATATACATACACACACATACAGAAGATATATACACATACGAAAAATTACAATAAAATAAGGCCTAATGAAGAAATGTGTCAATAAACTTCATTGCAGTGAGATAGCCAAGAGAGCAATGACTCCCTTCTCCATTTTTATAAGATAGAACACAAGTAGTATTTTGCAAAGCTATAGACTTTTTTTTCCCATCTGTACTATTTCTTGGTAAAAGTAAGATATTCTCTCTCTCTCTCTCTTCTCTCTCTCTCTCTCTTCACTTATAAACACCAAAAGTAAGCAAATAAGACTTTGAGATCAGTAAGTTACTTTTGGCTATTTCTGTTATGTTGATCAGGTGAGAAAAAGCTGGGATTCATATTAGGAGCCCTTGTGAATGGTTAAAGTCCTTTACAGCTACCATTAGCTGTCAGCTACACCATGGATATTGTCCATATGCACTTTGAGGTAGTCATTCCTTGTAAACTTCTTATGGCAAAACTGGCATTCTGCCAGTGGACGATTGGGATTATGAGTCATCTTGTGTCGGATCAGCATTTTCTTCAGGCTAAAAGCCAAGTCACAAACCTAGAAAAGATCCAAAGATACTAACCATATTACACTGAAAAACCTGAAGATATACCAACTTATTTAGATTAATATACATTATCCAAAGTTCTGCTGTCATGTTTGTATTAATAGGTCTAAAAAATGGTTGATCTTGGAATAAATGAAATTTAACATCCACAAGAATGGGTAAAGAAATTAATTAAAGTTCCAAGTTACTTTCTGCATTTAATTGTACCCTTTACTCCCCAGTCACCCTCCCTTCCCTGCAGCATCTCTAGAGAAGCAGCTTCTTACAAATACCTTCCACACGATCGATGAAGTACACACTGCAAGGTAAACCTCTGAAGTGAAATGCTTCTTTCTATGGCATAAATGGCCTAAGACATCTCACCAGTGATCCCTTCACATTAGTCCCATTTGTGATGCTGATGGATAATGTTGCTTCAGGCACAGTAAGAGGACATTTACTACACACTATTCCATTTTTTGTTTATTATACACTTTGTTTTGTTTAACTAAGGAATGTAACAAGTTTACTTCATATAAGCTCTGCCACACTGCCACCTGGTTCAACGCACAATCTGCTAATTAAAAACATTAAGTTAGCACAGAACATGTAAGGCATAATTACTTAAGTTATAAAAATAAATGAAATTCAAAGCTTGATGTCATGCACAAAAATTCCATTTACATAAATATCTTCAAAAGTATATCCATTCTAAAAGACACATTTAACTAATGTGAAAACACCATGAAAAGCATAATGAATATAATGAGAATGGAAATTGCTTGTAAAACTGCTGTAAAGAAAGCTGGAGTTCTGAATGAGGTGAGGTTTGCAAAAATAGTATACCAAATAAAAATTGTGCATTATTTTTGGAGGAAGAAGGACTTGCCTTTACAGCAACAAGAAATTCAAAAGCATGAAGTTCTAATTGATAAGAAGGGGGACTAATCCAATAATAAAATATTTCAGCTTACATGTAAGTAGCAGCGTAGTGTGGCAGAAAGAATACAAGCTTTTAAGTCAGATCATCTTCCAAGGAAGCTTGTCTTACATCCCAATTTAAAACTGAGACATGCCACCCTCTCTGGATACCTTTTTCTCTGCTCAAATTTATTTTTTACAGAACACTTGTCACCTTCTGACCCACAGCATAGTTAATTTATTTATTTTTACTTTATTGTTTATTGTGCCTCTAGTAAGTCACTGGAGCCTCAGAGTTCCATGAAGGAAAAGATCTCTATTACATTTTACTCACACATACATTTTACTGTTATCTATTGAACCAATTAAGGTTTGAATTCTATATCTTAATAAGTAAGTTAAAAGGAACAAATTAACCCTTTTAACTTCACTTCCCTTACCCATAAAATGACAATAATAGTGGTTATCTCACAGGATTGTAAGAAAATATCATCTAGGAAAACTGGTGAGATTGCAGACTCAATGCATTTTAGTGAATAATTTTTCTCCATCTTTTCCAGCAAAAAAGTATCATCAGCAGATTGGAAAGAATAAACTGATGTTAATAATAAAGAATCAAAAACTACTGTGAGTGTGATTTTGAAAGAAAGCAGTTATTCTAAAGAATGGCAGTGCCTTAGAATGTCCAAGTGCTTTGCAAGCAAATAGAATAATTTCCCAGAGTAAACATAAATCAGCCAATTAATCTCAGGAAATGACATATTTCTTTTGGAATAGGTCATAAGTATAATTTTGGTAATTATAATTAGGAATAGACTATAACAAACCATGATGACTATAAAATACATAAACTTTGATAACTGATATAAAAGTATTAACTATCCTTACTAAAAGGGAAGACTATGAAACTAGAAGAAAAAAAGCAAGATGCAAACATATACTGTACTTAAGATATACACTTCCAAAAAGTAACAAACACATAATTTAAAAAATGAGAGTTAGACTGTGGATAGAAGTGTATAAAATGATACTGACATGATATATATAACTGGTAGTCATGCTTCCTCAAAAACAGTTTGAACAGAAAGAGACAGCATCCTTCAAAGAACCAGGAGTACCACTTATAGAACATCTCCTATGAAAGATTTATATACAGAATGCTTCTACAGAATTACTTATAAAGTTGAAATGCTACAAATGACTTTCCCAAAGTTAAAATATATACTCATATAACCAGGTGAAGAAACACTTTTCAGCTGTTAAAAAGATACTTTAAAAAATATTTAAAGTAAAGAAATGTAAATGGGAGAAAACAATAACAAGATTACTGAAATTTAGACTACAATGTTGAAATACAGAGGATAAAAATATTGCAGAAATAAATGTCACCCTCTGGTAGACCCGCCCCTTCATCCCAGTGCAGCAGAGGAACCCACCCACGCAGGCACCAACACAGCAGTGTCCGTTCCCCCTGCCTCACATGAACAAGAGAAAGAGGGCATCTCTGAGGCTTCTAAATGAAAACTGAAGCCCACCGGAAAAGTGAAGAAAATCTCTGCGATAAAGGTACACCACACCACCATAGTTCATAAGTCAGAGGGACCAGCATCTCACATAGGAACCTGGTCTAACTTCAGGGGAAAGATAGCTGGAACCTGCAGTAGAACCTTGCAGAGTTCAACCCAGCAGGAGGTCAGAGATCTTACCTTGGGCCTTGCAGCCAGAAATCAGCCTGAACCTCAGGGGACAGCGGCTGATTTGCTGAGACTGAGTAACTTAGATCTGCACACTGCTTCCACACTGTCTATTGTGTCAACAGAGGCATACCCTGAAGGAGGCCCTCTATTTCTATTTGTATTTTTTATTTTCAAAGTAATATTTTTCAATTAACTTTAATCATTTAAAAAATTGTATCTATCATTTTTCTCAAAATTTTCCTTTTTTATCTTCTTTTCCTTATCTTTCTCTCTCTCTCTCACATACACACTCTCTCCTAACTTGATCTTCATTTCTCTCCTTTTTGTTCCTCTTCTTATCCTAATTTGAATTTATTTTCTTTCTCTTCCTTTTCCTTCCCTCAACTGCCATTAGTTTTATAAAAAAGTGATTATAGACTCTAGCCTCCATATTGCTGTTAATTTGTTCTGTTCTTCTGTATATTTTGCTCTGTCTTCTCCTCTTCTCTTCAGTAGCTTCTTAGTGTTTGTGTGATCTTTCTGGGTTCTCTGACCTCACTTTTAACCTTTCTCTATCCCTCCCTCCCCAGCTCCTTCTTAATCCCCATCCTGAAAGCTAAAGTTGCTATGTTAAAGAGTTTATTCACTATAAACATATTTGGGACTGGTCCTCGATTTTGATTTAATTCACACAGTTAAAAGAGACAGATTAATAACTACCACAAATTGTCATTTTCTAAGCTGTGCTTGATGCTATTGTATTGCTGATTGTATCATTTGGGCTAAGGTGTTGTGATTGATCTAATCAGTTGTCCTCCCTGCTATAATGAAAATGAGATTTTCTCAGAGTCATTAGAGACTCAAAACCTAAAGACCAGATATATCTGGAAGAACGAAGTATTAACCCAGGAATTAAACCAAGGACAATACCAACAAAAAAAATAGAAATGAGAAGACATTTAAACAAGACACAAACACAGACTTCCACTTCACCAAAGGGAAGCTCTGGGGGAAATGAGGTGGAAAAGTCTGACAGTCAACCATCTGGACATCCTGAACCAATAGCACAGGAAGTAAAACAAACAGATAAACAAGCAAACAAATGAGGCCCTAGAAAGATTCAAAACACAAACAATCTCCCAAATAACCACAAAGGTGGTGAGAAGAATGAAAAACATGATTAGAGACTATAGAATAGAAACAGATTAAAAAAAAAAAAAGAGCTCAGGACCATGATGGAAAGCATGAATGCCCAGCATAGGAAAGAAATGGAAACCTTGAATGCCCAACATAAGAAAGAAATGGAGTCCATGAAATAGATTCAAACAGATATCCAGGAGATTAAAAACTCTATAGAAAGCATTTGCAACAGAATGAATGTATGTGAAGATAGAATTTCAGATATAGAAGATAGGACTGCAGTCAGTGATCACAAAAAGAAAGGGATCATGAGAAATCAATCCAACAACTCTTAGATGATGTGAAGAAGAATAATATAAGACTGATAGGAATCCACGAAATAGCAGGAAAAAGTACAAATGACATTAAAAAAAAAAACCTGTTCACAGAAGTAATGACAGAAAACTTCCCAAACAAAGGGGAAGAATTTGACATATAGATAAGTGAGGCATACAGGACTCCAAATAGCCATGATAAAAAAGTATACACCTAGACATATAATAATCAAGATCCCAGAAGCCCAACAGAAGAACAAAATACTACAAGCAGTTAGAAAAAAGAAACAAATCACATGCAAAGGAAAGACCATCAGAATCACAGCAGACTTTTCAACACAAAGTCTCAAGTCAAGGAGAGCCTGAAGTGAGGTATTTCAAGACCTAAAAGAAAACAACCTCCAACCTAGACTGATGTATCCTGCAAAACTATCTTTCAAAATGGATGGGGAAATAAGATACTTCCATGACAAAGAACACCTGAGAAATTTCATGAACACTAAACTGGTGCTCCAAATACTTCTAAACAATATCTTGAAAAAATAAAAGGAAGGCCAAAACTCTGTAAGGGCTAACAGAACAAATATACCAGGCAAGGCAAGAAACTAAAGAGATAGGGAAAAATAAAATATTAAAGAACCATAACAGGAAAATAACATGACAATGAAAAGGCAACATATAACAGTTATAACCATCAATGTTAATGGCCTCAATTCACCAATCAAAAGAAACCAACTGGCAGAATGGATTAAGAAGCAAAATCCAAGTATATGCTGTATACAAGAAACCCACTTAATTCACGAAGAAATTCATAGTCTGACAGTAAAAGGATGGAAAATAGTTTTCCATGTGACAAGATTCCAGAAAAAAAGCAGGGGTAGCAATCTTATTTGCAGACAGAATAGATTTCAAACTATTATTTCAAAACTACTTAAGACAGAGAAAGAAAGCCACTACATC